AGAGAGATGTCAGTTACAGTGGTGAGTTTCCTCTCCCTCATCAGAATGGCTAACATGTAAACAAACACGCCCAGCGGTACCAAGTGTCAGGGAGGACGCAGAATTACTGCGGCTTTCCCACGCTGCTCACTGAACATAACCGTGAGCAACCACTTTGGAAAAGTGCCAAAGAACATATGTACACCCGAGCAATTCCACTCATAGCTATACACCAAATGGAAATGAATGTATATGTTCACTAAGAGACTTCCATAAGAATGCTCACAGCAGCATTATTTGTGATGGCCCCAAATTTTCAACAACTCAATTGTCCATCAATAAATAGGCTGGATAAGTTGTAGTACAGTCATAAAATTTAAAAAAAAAAAAATTTTTTAAAGCTACTGGGGCATCTGGGTGGCTCAGTCGGTTAAGCATCCGACTTGGGCTCAGGTCATGATCTCCCGGTCACTGAGTTCAAGCCCCACATCGGGCTCTGTGCTAACAGCTTGGAGCCTGGAGCCTGCTTCAGATTCTGGGTCTCCCTCTCTCTGCCCCTCTCTTGCTCACACTCTGTCTCTCTCTCTCTCTCTTCAAGCCCCACATCGGGCTCTGTGCTAACAGCTTGGAGCCTGGAGCCTGCTTCAGATTCTGGGTCTCCCTCTCTCTGCCCCTCTCTTGCTCACACTCTGTCTCTCTCTCTCTCTCTCTCTCTCAAAAATAAATAAATGTTAAAAAAAATTTTTTTAATGCTACACATGAAAATATGTGTAAGGTTCACAAATATGATGTCATGCAAATAAATTCATAGACAAAAGAATATATACTATATGATTCCATTTACCTAAAATTCAAAAACAGGCAAAGCTAATTTATAAAAATAAAAGGATAGAGGCTATTATAGTTAAGTGGCTGATGCCTTTACAAAGGGTCAGAAGGTTCCTGGGGCTCTGGTAATAGTCTTTGTCTTGATTTAGATGATAGTTACATGAACATGTTTAGTTTGTAACAACTCCTCACACTGTATTACTTATAATTTGTGCTTGTAATTTTTCTGTATGGGTATTACACTTAAGTAAACATTTTCCAAATGAAAAAGCACTGCTGAACAAGAAAGAAAGAAAAAACACCAGGGTCCAAAGAGGAAGGGGAAGCAGTTAATGGAGGGATAAATGAAGGTTGAAATGAAATAGTGCCCTGAGGGCATTTGCTCATCCCTGGAATTTAGAGTGCAGTGACTTTTTACTTTTAGATACTTGCAAGATGGTGAGTTAAAATGTAACAGCTCAGAGCCTGGAGCCTGTTTCAGATTCTGTATCTCCCTCTCTCTCTCTGCCCCCTCCCTTGCTTGTGCTCTGTTTCTCAAAAATGAATAAATGTTAAAAAAAAAATTAAGATTCTGGCCATAAGGATGGACCTTTCCAGACCGGGGGCAGGAGAGAGCGTCTAGAAAATATTTATCTCCTGATGAGAAGTGTCAAGAAAACTTCTTTATCTTTGTGGGGGCTTGAGGGGGAAATATTCAAAACTACAGTTGTTGTTGGTTTTTCATATTCATTTAGTTTTGAGAGAGAGACAGAGAAAGAGCACACAAGCAGGGGATGAGTAGATAGGGAGACAGAGGATCCAAGGTGGGCTCTGTGCTGAGAACCTGATGCAGGGCTTGAACCCAGGAACCGTGAGATCATGATCTGAACCAAAGCCAAGAAATGGAAACTTAACTGGCTGAGTCACTCAGGCACCCCCAAAACTACAGGTTTATCGGGTTCAAACTGGTTACCTGTGGGATCTGAGGAAACTCAAAATAATTAAAGCATTACTAGGTAAATCATGTCCCAGGATGCTTGGCTAAAGGAAACAATATCCTACCTGAAGGAATACACACAGTTCAGGTGTCACAAAATTATGCAGATAACCTTCTACAGAAGAAGGAGTATGACCCCTGGGCTTCGCATGGGGCTGGTGTCCTCCTGGGCTGTGTGTACAAATGAACCTGTGGCAGGAGGGGGGGGGGGGGGGGGGGGGGAAGAGGGAGGGGGAAGGGAAAAAAAAGAAAATTTGTCTAAAACATATAGGTACATTACACATATTGATACATAAATCTTCAGTTAATGTAGGGGGCAACAGTTGTATGCTATGTTTTTAATAATATGTGTAAAAATGGTTTCTTTTTAGAACTAAAGGATGAAAACAATGAGTCCAATTCATAGGCGACTGATACATCTCACGGCTAAAAAACTCTAAGAGTACCTATCCTGTTTACTAGGTATATGGAACTGGGAAAACCTCGATATGTTAGAGGCTGGGAAGACCAATATCTGGCCAAATGAAAAGGCAAGTTTATTAGGATGGTGATGATCCAATAAAAGGTAAAACCATATATTCTTTGTTCTCATACACATCTTTATAGAATATACTCCTTATAAGGACTTTTAAACTTAATAAGCAATTGTGAATGGATTTCTGTTATCCCTAGGCAACACAGAAAGCCACTCTACCCAGGTTTTCCCCCCTTTCTATGCAAATAGGCTTGAAAACATCTGAGCTAACAGAAAATGACCAAAAAAAAAAAAAAAAAAAAAAAAAAAAAAAAAAAAAAAAAAAAAAAAAAAAGTACCAGCCAAGTTGCTTGGATGCTAGGAGTAAACATACATAAACTGTTCTCTGTTCAGCATGAATGATCATAAATACACACAGTGCAATACAGAAAACTAAAAGTGTGCATTATAAAGATAGCAAGACTCTTGAAAAGTCCAAACAGCTGTAAAAGTACATTTAGCCACTGGGTCAAGGCTATTTTATACCATGAGATCTTTCTTATTTTTGTTCCACTGCTAATAATTCAAGACTGCTTGCCTTACACCAATAATTTGCATTATCTTAGTATCAAACTATGTTACTATTATTTAACTATGTTGAAAGTAACATTATTCTAATTTTTTAATGTTTATTTTTGAAAGACAGAAAGAGCACAAGCAGGAGAGAGGCAGAGAGAGAGAGAGACAGACAGAGACAGAGACAGAGACAGAGACAGAATCTGAAGCAGGCTCCAGGCTCTGAGCCATCAGCACAGAGCCCGACACGGGGCTTGAATTTACAAGCTGTGAGATCCGAATCGGATGCTCAACCGAGGCCCCCTAAAATTAACATCATTCTAAATAAAACAATGACTAGTTTTTATTTTCCAAAGTTTGAAAATATTTTAGGTGTAAAGTTTTCAACTCAAGAATATTATAGGCTTTTACTTAAACTCAAAATAATTCCTGAACACTTTAATATCCTTTTGTTCTCGATTTTTAAGTCTTTACTTTTTTTTTTTTTTAGTGTTTTTATTTATTTTTGAGACAGAGAGTGAGACAGCACACCTGGGAGAGGGGCAGAGACAGAGGAGGACAGAGGATCCAAAGCAGTATCTGAGCTGACAGCAGAGATCCTGATGTGGGGCTCAAACTCATGAAGGCGAGATCATGACCTAAGCCGAAGTCAGACACGGAACCGACGGAGCCATTCAGGCACCCCATCAATTTTTAAAAGTCTTTTTAATTTTTTTTTTAACTCTATGCAAAAGGATTTGTACAGAAGGAAAAAAAAATTGGTATTTAAAGCAAAAGTAGAAAGCTAATTTCCCTTGAAATCCTAATTCTTAAAAAATAAAGCTGAAAGTTTATCAAAAAAATTAGTTTTGAGAACTGTCAAACCCAGATCAGTCTCAAAATAATTTGAATAGTGTGAATTCAAACTCCCTCTGCTTTGATTCAGTACTAGATTAAGATTGTATCTAGAAATCAGGTGGTGTTTCTTACCCGTTGTTTTACAAATAAATGTTAATTTCATAATAGTAAGACTGGGTAAATAATGGGTAATTCTGTTCCTAGGAATTACTTCAGCAGGACCTGGAAGAGGACACACACTTTCATATGGACAAATTAGAGAGAGAGAAGAAGAGAGAGAGGCACATGGATGTAGCATACACTGAAAATTCTGTGTACGTATCTTCTATTTGCTGATTGGGCCAGCTCTCCAACCTCTCTCAGCAACACACAACCTTGCACAACCTCAGAAATGACCGTTCACCCCTGCAGCAGATCCTTGGTAGATTTCATGGACTCTTGCCTTACACAAGCCTGGTTAACCCCCAGCAGAGATCCCAGGTGAATCCTCACACAGAGTTTTGGTGCCCATCCTCTGTGCAGCTTCCTCTTCTCTGAATACCACTGGCTTGCAAATTCCAGATGCTTCAGGCAGCCACAAATTCCAATCTCAGACCCCAAAACTCAGCATGACTGTAAATCTGCTTGGGCTTGGGCTCCCCACCCTGTGCCATGGCAAGAAGCAGTCCCAGGCAAAAAAAAAAAAAAAAAAAAAAAAAAAAAAAACAAAACAACGGGGAAACAGTAGGGCTCACCTCGTGTTTCCTTTATCTCAATGATGTTGTTTATTTTTACATCAAAATCATAAAATCAAAAGAACGTAGTATCTGAATGAGGACTGTGAATTTTTTAAACTTCTCTTTGTTTAGTGTCACATTAATAAATTGGAAAAGAATATTTAACTGATTTACAGAAAGGAATCAGAAAATATGCATCCAGTTACACCTCCAGATTTCAACAATTCACCCCACTGAGCTGTTGTTTTCTCTTGACCTTCTCTATGAGGCATCAGAGGCTTCCGAGGGGTATCCGTTCACCACAAGAGCTCCCTTAGAAGCTGCTCAACTATTATGCTGTTTCTAGGTAAATGATTATTTAATTATTATTTAATGATTTTACTTTAAAAAGAAAGTGTGGCTAATATTTTAATGACATGGGAAAATATCTAATAAAATACTTCTAAGCTAAATGTGTAAAATAACGCTTCACAAAGTAAAAAAAAAAAAAAAGCCTAAAAATCAACATTTTAAATAGGAATATTAAAGGTGTTATTTTACTAATTTTTTCATCATTCTTTTCTAGATCTCCTGTGTCCCATATTAGTAATATGTATAAATAACACTTAAAAGAGCTTCTAATTAATATGCTGTTGAGTCCAAATTCCCCTCTAAGTTCAGGAAGAAATATTTAACATGACAGCAGCTGCCACCAAGTCGCCTGCGTCTTTGCAACCTGACCACGCCACTTCTGTGACCCGAATGTCCCCCCTCTTCAGTGGCTTCAGTGCCGCTGCTCATTCCTTTCCACGTGGACTCCAAGACCTCTCCTTCAAGGTCAAGCTCAGGTTTGACATCTTAGTGAGCTCTTACTCCATCTCTGTCCCCTACTTTCCAAAACCAAGTCTGAAGTAATTTTCCCATCTCAAAACTTCCATGGTCCTTTGTTCTCACATCTCACCCAGTTTGTTGTGCCTTTTTTTTTGGGGGGGGGGTTGTTTTCTTTTTCTTTTTCATCTTTTTTTTTCTTTTCTAGAGCAGTTTTAGATTCACAGGAAAATTTATCAGAAAATACCGGAGTTTCTCTGATAAACTTACTTGGAGTGAATGCCTATAAATGATAAATGGTGTTTTCTCCATTCACAATAACAGACCATGCTATTTCCCGAGATATCACCCAAATGAGTGACTCATTGTATGTGGGCTTCAAATGACAATTGGAAGAATATGCAATTTTGCGTTTGTATGACAATTTAACATCTGCACTATTTCTACCTGTATTTTGTGTACTTGATTTCTTCCAAACAAAAACGCCCAAGTCTCATTGCTGCTCTTTCTCTGGACTCCCAAAGAGAGGGGGCATGCGGTATAAAAGAGAGACCCGTTTAGGTTCCACCTTCGTATGATGGGGACTGAAGACCAGGCCCAGGTGGAAGGGCTACCCATTTTCCTAATACTTGCAGAAATTAACAAAATGAAAATATAAGTGCAAAAAATGCTAAACGCCAAGTCAATGGGACCTGAAGGCTGGAAAATGAGTTTGTAAGAGATGACTCACGGAAGACTGTTTTGGAAGACTTCCAGAACGATTCAGGAGGACAGTCAGGAAAATGATTACCCATTGGAGCAGCTTTTTAGCACCAATAAATTCTGTCTGTTTCAGTAATGGATGCCTTCAAGAACTATTATGAACTGTGACATTAAAATAAATGCACATAGACACTATTTTTATTACTCTTCCCACAAACCTCTGTTCTCTTTAAGTCCTCAGTCTTGCTCTCGATAGTTTTACACAACACAATCCTTTTCATGAGCACATCACACAAAATTTATGCAGGAATGCTCTATTTCCAGGCACGTCTATATCTCAGCCGCCCCTAACTGCCCCACTAAAGCCAACACTGGGCTGTCTACATGAGGTTTAGCTCCGCTCCAAGGGGCAGCTGCGAAAATGTAAACACTGCTTTCAGATCACATCCTGAATCACCACCTTCCTTTCTGGCTTGAAAAAATACCCCTTTCCCAGCTGTGTACCGTTCCCCACTCTTAAACCTGGTTTTGGTTAGTAGGAGAAGAAATACAACCTTCATAATAATTAATATGGGCACTGTGCTCTTGACTCTTTCAAAGTAGATCTATAAACATTATGCCATCTGACTTTCTCAATAATAATATGAAGGGAGATATTACTTCTATTTTACAAGCGAGCCGCAAGACACACAGCTAGGGTTGAGTTTAAGAATGAGGTCTTTCAATTCCAAATTCAATGCTTTTTCCATCATATTCTTTTGTTCTACCTTATTCAAGTGTTTGTCATTCTCTACATGCTTCTCTGTAATAACATAGATTACAATACCTGGGTGGGAGGAGGACACTTTTGGAAAGCACATAACATAGTTTTAACTAATATTTTTTAGGCAAGGGAGCATCTGACAAAATTAGTGATATTGCATTTCTTTGTTAGCTATTTTCTTTTATACATGAGAACCCTGAGCCCCAAACAGGTATCTTACCTAACTCACATAGTACATTGGCAAGAGACAGGATTTAAACTTCAGTCTTACCTGACTCCAAATCCCAAGATCTCCAAATGAACCATCGAACCTTCCCCCAGGGTGGTCTCTGGC